TCAAGGGCAGGGAGGCCTTTGGGTAAAGGAAGTGGGAGCGAGGACTCAGATCCTTTCGCTAGCCCACTTCACCGGGGTAGTGCAGAAGCCAGGAAAGTTCCCCACAATAGCAGGACTGTTCCCCTGCTTACACGTAGGGACAGGAGCTGCCCAGGCAGGAGGCTCTGGACTGTCCACTCCAAACTGCGGCTACGCTGTCCCTCTGCTCCGCCCCAGTCTCTTTACCTCAGCTTCCCTCCACACCTGCCCCTCTGCTCTCACACTGTGTCCCCTTCCGCCCCTTACCATTTTGCTGAGCCCCTCCTAACTAAACCCAAATCCCACAAAAAACCCAGCCCAAATAATAGAACTTGTATGACATTTGCCACACTGTTCACTCTGCTTGTGTTCTACCCCTTCACTCACCCATATAGTCCATCTGGTCTACCTAGACAATATTGTTCCCTTGGATTCTCCTGTCTGTGTCCAGCTGTTGTCTCTTGTTTTAAACTTGTATTTTGAACTCTTTGGGGGCAGGGATGGTCATTTTGTCCTGTGTTTGTACAGCACCTAGCAAAATGGTTTACGACTACAGTCGTACAAATAATAGTTTCCCCCATCGTAGCTACCTGGAAGGCTGGAGTTCCAGAGCAGGGTCAGCACCAGATGGTCCTGAAGCATATGTTTGAGGTCACCCTGGACAGAGAGAGGAAGGGGTTAAAGAGATTCCCCAGTGCCTTGCACTGGGGAACGTGCATGCTCTTGTTATAACACTCTATAAGAAACACACACATGCCTTCCTGCCTCTTGGGGTACATCGACACTTCAATGTAAACCCAGGGTTAGTGGGACTCAAGTCAGCTGGTCCATGTTAGAGAACCCTGGGCTTGAGCATCTACACGGTTTCTTAACCCTACGTTAAGACTTTTCTAACCTGTGCCAGAACCTAGGGCTCTTGCATCCACACTGCAGTGCACAGACCTGAGTCAAAGTAACTGTATCCCCACGTTCCCCTACCCCAAAAGGGCCGTTCTAGCCCTAGGACCCTGGTGCACTGGGGGAAAAGTTTACTGCCCACCCTGCACATTACCAGACGTTTGAATAGCCCACCAGCAGAGACTGCTGAGCTGTCATTTTGGGCAACGCCCCCCACGGCTCCCAGAACCAGAACCACGGAGGAGGGGTCTTTTGACGAACTTCTCTTACTTGCACTTTCACTCCGGTGTCAGAAACGGGCAGAGCATCTGCGAGGCACCAGTGGCTATTTTGGCAGCATTTTCTGTCCCACCAGAGGTGCCTGACAGATTTCCTAATGGAGCTACAGGAGAAGAAGGCAGCAAAAGAGGAGTACCCTGGCATTGTACACTGGCACAGCCGCTGATGCCCCCGTGAGGTTGCTGCTTCTGGCACAGGTCTGCAAGCAGAGACTGGTGGAATAATATAGTCATGCAGACCTGCGATGACCAGCAGTGGGTCCAGAAGTGGAGCACTAGAAATGATCCAATAGGTGAATATAGCTGAACCACCTGTTAATAGCGACCATAATATAATTCAATATATCATTGGGGGGGAGGTGTGAGGGGGAGGTGGAGAAAGGACACTGAAGAAGCCCACCGCAGTAGCATTTAGTTTCTGAAAGAGGAACTACACAAAAATGAGGAAGCTAATGAAATGGAAATTAAAAAGTACAGTCACAAAAGTTAAACGCCTGGAAGCTTCATGGCAACTTTTTAAAGACACCGTAATAGAGGCTCATATTAAATGTATACCCCAAATTAAAAAGCATAGTAAAAGAACCAAAAAAGTGCCACCCTGGATAAACAACAAAGTAAAAAGTGATTAGAAGCAAAAAGGTAATCTTTAAAAATTGGAAGTTAAATCCTACTGAGGAAAATAGAAAGGCGCATAAACTCTGACAAGTCAAGCGTACTTAGGCAGGCCAAAACAGACTCTGAAGAGCAACTAGCCAAAGATTCAAAAACTAAACAGCAAAAAAATGTTTAAGTACATCAGAAGCAGGAAACCTTTCAAACAATCAGTGGGGCCACTGGACAATCGAGGTACTAAAGGAGAGCTCAAGGAAGACAAGGCCTTTGCAGACAAGCTTAATGAATTCTTTGCATCAGTCTTCACTGCAGACGATGCGAGGGAGATTCCCACACCTCAGCCATTCTTTGTAGGTGACAAATCTGAGGAACTACCCCAGACAGAGGAGTCAATAGAGATTTTGGAACAAATTGATAAACAGTAATAAGTCACCAGGACCAGATGGGATTCACCCAAGAGTTCTGCAATTTCATATTTGAGTTTCTTCAGAACTACTAAGTGTGGTGTGTAACCTATCATTTAAATCAGCTTCTGTACCAGATGACTGGAGGATAGCTAATGTGATGCCAAATTTTAAAAACAGCTGCAGAAGTGATCTTGGCAATTACAGGCTGGTAAACATAACTTCAGTATAAGGCTAATTAGTTGAAACTATAGTAAAGAACAAAAATATCAGGCTCACTGATGAGCATGATTTATTGGGGGAAGAGTCACCATGGTTTTTGTGAAGGGAAATCATACCCCCACCATTAGAGTTCTTTTAAGGGGGGGGGGTCAATAAACATGCAGACAAGAGTGATCCAGTTGATATAGTGTACTTGGACTTTCAGAAAGCCTTTGACAAGACCCCTCACCAAAGGTTCTTAAGCAAAGTAATCAGTTACGGAATAAGAGGAAAGGTTCTCTCATGGTTCAGTAACTGGTTAAAAAGACAGGAAACAAAGGGTATGAATAAATGAACAGTTTTCAGAATGGAGACAGGTAAATAGCAGTGTCCCCTAGAGATCTGAATTGGGACCAGTCCTGTTCCACATATTCATAAATGATCAAGGGGGTAAACAGGGAGATGGCAAAATTACTCAAGATAATAATGTCCAAAGCAGACTGAAGAGTTACAAAAGGATCTCACAAAAACTGGGTGATGGGCAACAAAACAGTACATTAACTTCAATGTTGATAAATACAAAGCAATGCATACTGGAAAACAATCTCAACTATCCATACAGAACGATGGGCTTTAAAACAGGTGTTAGTGCTCAAGATAGATCTTAAGAGTCATGGATAGTTCTCTGAAAACATCCGCTCAGTGTGCAGCATCAGTCAAAGAGTTAAACAGAACATTAGAAACCATCAGGAGAGGGATAAATAAGACCATAAATATCATAATACCACTATATAAACCTATGGCACGCCCACACCTTGAATACTGCATGCAGTTCTGGTCACCCCATCTCAAAGATATTAGAATTGGAAGAAGTACATAGAAGGGCAACAAAAAGTCCCATTGTCTCTATTCTGGTGTTTTCCCTCCTACCATTCTTTAGGATCATGAACTCATCATTTTACGATCACGTTTACCCAAGTTGCCTTTCACCTTCAAATTCTCAACCAGTTCCTCTCTATCTTTCAGAATCAAATCTAGGACATTCTCTTCCCCTAGTTGCTTTCTCCACATTCTGTAATCAAAGTGGTCTCCAATCCAAGAACTTTTTGGATAATTTGTGCCCTGCTGTGTTATTTCCCCAGCAGATGACTGTAGTTGAAGTCTTGTGCTTTGGAGGATTCTGTTTTAAAAAAAAAAAAAAAAAAAACTCATCCACCTCTTCTTCCTGGTGAGGTGGTCTGTAGTAGACCCCTATCAGGCTATCACTGTTGGTTTTTTACCCCTTTTATCCTTACCCAGGGACTTTCAACAGGTCTGCCTCCCACTTCTCTTGACCTCAGTGCATCTTTGATGTAGAAGTCAACATCTCCTCCTGTCCTTCCTGAGCAAGCTGTACCCTTCTTCACCAGTCATGTGAATTATCCCACCAAGCCTGCTGATTGCCCATGTTCTTGTCTTAGATATGGGCCAGGTCAGCCCAGCAGAGGGATGCCTCCATCCCAGTTAGAAGAGAGTCATCAACCACCATTTGTTTCCTCTTGGGAGTGATGGCTGCAATATTCCCAGCCTTGGGTGTACATGGCTTCTCCTCCTCCATCTTTGGGGGGGGAGATCCCTCATTACCAGAGCTGCATACCATTTTTATAATCTCTGTGGATGGTAGGAAGTAGGGGTGGAGCACTGCCTGATGCCAGATGTGACCAGCAGCCAGCTTCCTCTCTGTGAAGGAACTGTTTCCTCCTCTCCAGCTGGATTGCTTCCTCAACCTTGGAGGTCTCTATATGCATTTTACAGTGAATTCTTTGTGTGCACAGCTGCTCCTCAGCCCAGCCACCTCCTCCTGTAGCTCTCCCACATGCTTCCTGAGAGATTCTACCAGTAGGCACTTCTCACAGTGGATGATCTCCCCAGCAGGCCACAGGTTGCAAATCCACACCAGGACCTGGATAGAGGCATCCATGGTCAGGTTTTTTGTCTGGACATAGGTGCAGGTGGAGGAGCCAAGAACAGTGTTGACATTGGTGATGCAGCATGGTAGTATTTACACACTGTCCTAACTAAGTGTTGCTGTTCATCATTAAGCCATTCCAATCTTAGTTGGCAGAGCAACGCAAGTCCCTAGATTCGTATGTATGGCACTGTGCAAGCAGAGGTGACCCTCTAGTGTCCCTCACTGCTGCCTATACATCACCAGCAGTAGCTTGATATGCTGCTCTCTCATTGGGTGTACAGCTCAGCCTAGACAAGCAATGAAACATACAACCCTCTAGTGTATTTAGTTCATCAGTCTGTAAATTATGTTGTATTGAAAACTGTGTTAACATTACAAGCTATCACTTTAAATTCTCTGGTTCTTTGAATCCTGCATTCTGGGTCTTCATCAGTCAGGTGGGTTAACAAAGCACTTGGGCATCTTTCAAGATAAATTGAAATTAAGAACAACATTTTAAAATTTCATCACAACCTGCAGTCTGACAGATTTATGAATCTGGACCTGTGTAACTGATGTACCAAGTAACACCGCTATGATTTACCACTAAACAGTTGGCTTCAAACCAGTTTAAGTAGCTCATGAAAAAGAAAAAAATGATCTGTTTTTAAATTCAGATTTATTTTATTTTTTTTAAATAAAGACAATTTCCAAGTACTGTGTTGTTTGTGGAGGACAAAAGAAATTTAAATAACTAGATATGCAAGGCAAGCTGAAAGAAACTCCTTGCCTCAAACTATTCAGTGGTGCAGGCCCAAACACATTTGCAATTGCTCATGTAATCAATTCTATGCAACAATGACAGCATTTAAAGAGTATAATACAAGCTATCAATTTCATTGTCAATTTACAAGGGAAAAATAAATATTTGGGTTTTTTTTATTATACATGAACACTTCAGTAAAAAGTTATAGCTGTTGTGTTGTCATGACAGTATCTTAAGAGGTACAAATTGAAGAACATGCATACATATCTAACAGGATTTTCTAAACTATAACTTTGGAATAAATTACAGAGGACAGACATCAGCCAACAGAGGATAAGGATTATCTGAGAAATCAATTTTGAAAGCAAAAAATCACGACTGTTGCAGAATACAAGAGTTAGTGGTCTGTAACATGTAGTAAGATGAACTGTAGATGGTGTAAACCTTATTTGAATATACCTATATATAGGCTCATGGTTTTAGGCAACAAATATTAAGTGTTTTAGTTCATCCTGGATACCCTCACACTCAACTAGCACCTCAAGGATGCACGGACCATTGCAAACACCTATAATTTCATGCTTAAAATACCTGAAGCATGCATTTTCTAGAATTTGTGCATTATACACATTTGCTCTTTTAAGATTATTGTGCAATAATAAAGTTCTTAACCAATGAAAAATTTTTGTAGTTATTTGTAACGTTTTGAGGTTTGGCAGGTTTGTGCGGGATTAATTAAAAACTGTACTTGTGGTTCACCCTTAACTGCCACATACAAACTTTATGCCATTCATTTGGCTGGTAAAGAACAAAAAATGGCAGCAACCTAAAGGTTCTAACAGAGCGAGAAAAATCAGTTCATGTGCACTGCAGTTTACTTAAAAATATATATATATATACACACACACACTTTAAGATGGCACAAAGGTTTTGTACAATTGGATGCATCAGTGCAAATACATGCATATGAGGTACTAATTTATTCAGGCCAGATCTAATTATGTATACATTACAATCACTCTCCTAATCTGACATCAGATTAGTACTGGAATCAAATTTATGACAAAATGATACATCAGCAGTTTCAATATCATATCACAGTAACCTCTAGAATTTCATCTTTGAAACTACCACACCTCAGATTGCTCATTTTATAAGACATGTTTGCACACTGTTACAGTACTTGATTTCTATTTTAAGATTTTGAACTTGTCAATTGTGAGGATTTAAAAACTAGATGTAAAACTGGAATAATAATTATAACTGGCTTAACATTTTAACAGAATTTTAAATTCTAGCAAGTACTGTCATGGAATAGGAACATAGTTATTGCTCAAAAAAATGAAGGCATAGATGGCACTGCTCCAATGGTGAAAATTAAATACAGAAAGCAGAATCCTGCCTGGAGTCAGCCTATGCACACTTAAGCATTTGGTAAATTATCTATGCCATTCATTTCCATATGGCTATTATGACATTTACACAGAGATACGGTACTGAAGTGGCTAACAGTGGGACATGCACAGAATTTCAGCTCTGGTAATTCTCTCTTTAGACGTTCCAGCTGCTCTACCTGGAATATATTTGGTTGTTCAGGCATCCAGTCATATATCCTGAATAAATGAGAAAAAAAGTCTGTAAGAAATAATGCTACATAAAACTACTGTTAAATTTCCATTTTCTCTGCTTAGAGTGAAATTAGGTAGCAAACACCTCTATAAATTAGTAGATCTGTACTTAACACTTGAAACTTGTCTCTCTAAACCATATTCTGCAATATAAAGTGGTAGTCCTTTATCAGCATGGTTAACAGTTTGACTAGATATGCTAAAAAGCAAGCAAACTATGACCACTAACATCCACTTATTCTTCTGAAGACATGACTTTACAGATGGTGGTGTTGTATTAATTTAGATGGAATATATGAGCCAAAGATATTAACATAACCCAGTCACTATCCAACATTAAACAGTGTTAAACAAGGTCCAGAGTTTGGTATGCAGAGATTTCAGCTGGCTGTGTACCACTGCAAACACCACAGAAAATCCTTTTAAACCTTCTTTTATTAAAGATGAAGAGGAAAAACACTGTTACAGCATTTCAAATGTAAAGTAGTAATAATGTTAAAATGAAAACCTATTTTCCCCCTGTTCTTTTCTTTTTAGCTGGAGAGAGTTTTCGCAGGAACTTCCTGCCCCTTGCTTGACAATCCCTTTGAGCAGCAGTTCTCAATCTAGAGTCTGCGGCCCCATCGGGCCAGTTTCAGGGGGTCCGTGAAGCAGGGTCAGCGTTAAATTGGCTGGAGCCCTGAAGGGCTGACATTATATATTCAAATAGTCCAAATTCAAGTTTGCTGTTGCAAATTATAAAGGTTTTTTTAAGAAGCATTGTTAATGTTTAAATAATCCACATGGAAATTTGCCACTGCATTCTATATTGGTACAATTTTTAAGACAACTCACTGGCAGCAGTGTGGTAGAAGAGAGGTGTGTCTGTTCTTCTCCATTATCTCTTGAATGGCTCCTAACAGGATGAAACTCTCATGCCCTCAATGGACTTGCATCCTCTCCTATCTCCCAAAAACTCAGCAGTTCATTCCATGCTTCGCTCAGTAGCTCCCAACTTTCATCTTTGCTCTTCAACTCACTTATTATTTAACCCCCAATAATTATCTTTTTAAGAAGAGTTCATTTAGGCATTAGTTAAGTATAAAATGTTGTACTGTAACAGTTCAGTTAAAGCTTTGTATTAAAAAACTGGTTCAAGTGCCACCAGTATCAAACACAAACTAACACAAAGGCGTATCAGAGTGGTTCTGTGATCAGCGTGATGTTCTGTTGTAACTAGATACTGAAGCTCATGCAGTATCTAACTTAAGGGCCCAGTATCAGCCTTAGAAGGTGAAATTTCCTTGATTCTCATATAGTTATAGGAGTATTTATATAAGTGAGTTTTAATACTGGGTGAAGTACCCAGTGTTTCAAGAGCCTCGTACCAATGAATAAGACAGTAACAGTTTGGCTTTTCATTCCATTAAACATTTCCATCTGCTTTACTAAACAATATTAATTCATCTACACTAGTTTTGTCAACTGGAATATTTTTCTTTTAAAATAAACGTTCGGGTCCAAAATATTCAAATCATTTCATACTGGGCTTTTCATGAGTACCATTTATAATGCATAATAAAGGAGAAAGCTTGTAACCAAGGAAGCATGTAGGAACACAGTAAAGTAAATTTATTTCAGAGCTCAACAATCATTTAAAGAGTGATTCTTTAATATTTATATTTCAGTTGCATCCAGGGGCCCCAATCAGGATTTAAGACCCATCATGCTAGACTATGTCCATGTCCTCAAAAATCTTACAGTCCAAAGCAAGTAACATATGAAAGGACAGTGTGAAAGGGAAAATATCAAATATGTAAGTTTATACACAAACTAAATAGAGTATTATTAAATGGCTTAAAAGTGAAGAAACCAGTATGACAGGCAGAAAGTCTTTTTAGGGAATATCTACATCTAATGTTTCTGTCATCATGCTATTTAGGTGCCAAACAGTAATTATACAGTAAACATCTTGTCAGTAGAATTATTACATGTAGATACTATATCTGTATACTTACAATATCTGTCTTTTATTAAACATAGTTAGTTGAACATTAACATTTAAACATTAGTTCATCTAATAAAACACTATTTAACTTTAATTTTACAGGAAGGCGCTGCTAATTTACATGAACACTTAGGCAAGTAAGGCCCCAAGTTTAGAATTTGTGTAACAGTTTTACAGAACATATGTTCTTTTTAAAAAAGAAGTTATTCCAATGAGTTTGGATTGAACATTCCCCTGTAGTTTATGCAATGCAAATTCTACAGCTTTGCATCAGTGCATGAAAATTAACTACACTGGGCTGCCAATAGTGCCTCATCTATGCTAAAGCTTCCATTTTTGTGAGTACACATGACAATAGTGAGAAATTAAGAAAATACGGTTAGGTGGATGAGGCCCAAGCTGTAAGTTATGTAAAACAATTATGTACCAAAACTAATACTGGAAATGTTTTTCCTTAATGGTTTTAATTGCAATTAAAGTTTGTTAAATTGGATGTAACTATTCCACTGTGTTGGCTGTAACCTCAACATTGCATTTTTGTGCTAGAATGTGAGAGCCAGAAAATGAAACTTCATTTTTGACAGCTTTACTAAAGTGAAAAAAATAAATAAATGGGTGAAAAGTATTTTTTTTAATTTAGGTTTAATATATACTTTCATACAGAAATTTGTTAAATTATTTTAATCGTTAGCAAACTCTCTAACTTTTTAGCTATTAGTCACTTAATTTTCTGTGCCTCTGGTTTCCCAGCTAGACCCCAGTTCTTTCTGGAGTACATAAAGTACTTCTGTCCTCAGCACCCCTCTTTACTGTAGAGTCTCAGCACCTTGAAAACATTAATGAATCTTCAACATCCCTGTATAATAGGCAAGTGCTATCCTCTTTTCACAGCTGGGAAACAAGAGGCACAGAAAGTTAAGCAAGGTGCCCAATGTCACAAGTTTGAAAGGAAAGAAGGATGGTTTTGTGGTTGTGCACTAGACTGGGACTCAAGAAATCTGGATTCACTTTCTCGCCCTCCCACAGTCAGAGGATCCATTCCTAAGGGAATCCTCTCTTACGCCACCAGCTATAACAGTTGTTCCTCCATGTTCTGTAACTACCTTTTAGCATGTTCAAGAAAGAATTACTATATAGCATTTTTCAGAGTAGCAGCCGTGTTAGTCTGTATTCGCAAAAAGAAAAGGAGTACTTGTGGCACCTTAGAGACTAACCAATTTATTTGAGCATAAGCACCTGCACATCTACCAATGTGATATATGCCATCATGTGCCAGCAATGCCCCTCTGCCATGTACATTGGCCAAACTGGACAATCTCTATGTAAAAGACTAAATGGACATAAATCAGATGTCAAGAATTAACACATTCAAAAACCAGTCAGAGAACACTTCAATCTCTTTGGTCACTCGATTACAGACCGAAAAGTGGCAATTCAACAAAAAAACATCAAAAACAGACTCCAACGAGAGACTGCTGAATTGGAATTAATTTGCAAACTGGATACAATTAACTTAGGCTTGAATAAAGACTTGGAGTGGATGGGTCATTACACAAAGTAAAACTATTTCCCTATGTTTATTCCCCCCCACACCCACCCCCATGCTGCTCTTCAGAGGTTCTTGTCAACTGCTGGAAATGGCCCACCTTGATTATCACTACAAAAGGTCCCACCCCCCCGCTCTCCTGCTGGTAATAGCTCACCTTACCTGATCACTCTCCTTACAGGGTGTATGGTAACACCCATTGTTTCATGTTCTCTGTGTATATAAATCTCCCCACTGTATTTTCCACTGAATGCATCCGATGAAGTGAGCTGTAGCTCACAAAAGCTTATGCTCAAATAAATTTGTTAGTCTCTAAGGTGCCACAAGTCCTCTTTTTCTTTTTGTAGAATCAAAATGGTCAGTCAATATTAGAGACACAAGGTGGGTGAGGTAATATCTTTCACGGGACCAACTTCTGTTGGTGAGAGAGAAGTTTTTGAGCTTACCCAGAGCTCTTCCTTACTAACTGGTCCATCAAACCATATTATAGGTGTGCGGGGTGGTGTGTGCACTCCAGGAAGCTATATGCAAGCCTCTCCTCTTACATCTTATTATTTCCTTACTTTAAAGGAGTTGTAGCATTCTACTGCAGAGTTGGGAGAAGAGATGTTATGACACTTTGGGGTTCAACCCAGACCAGTAAAGAGGTTGTGTCACTCTGTGCCCTATAACCCTGGGTGTCTGGGTTGTGCAGCCGTGGTTCAGAGCCCTGATACCAGCAACATGCTCACAAAACAGATTTTTGAACTGCATTGCCATCAGTAGTTCAGTAACATTCACCTTCGAGACACTCAGATTCCTCTACAAAGGAATTCTACCTTTTCCTTTTTCATTATCTAGATACTTTTCTCTGCTAGACAGTAAAGAACTAGCTACAAAACTCAAATCTAGACTAAAACTCAAAACTCAATTTAGACTAAAAATTATGTATTTTGAGATTGTGGCTTGCACAACTACTTTTGGGCCAGGAGACTGCAGTCACCTGCCGATCTTAAACAGGCAATTTAGAAAACCCAATAGGTTTAAATTTCAAATATAGACATTTCACAATAAGACTTAAAATAATATTTGGTGAAGAAGAAAGTCACTGTGCCCCATCTGGAAGTCCATTACAAGTGTCACCTTAATTCCTGATCGATGGGAGAGATCCCTATGTGATGCTGTGGCAGGGAGGAGGAGCTGCAGCTGTGCTACTTAGGAGAAAGGTGGTCTCCAACCCCTCTCTTAACTAGAAACTTACTTCACTGGTCTGTCTCACCTCCTTTTGCTGCCAGGTACCACCTGTACCTAGAAGCAATAGAAGCAGGCAACCTGAGTATGAGAAGGCTGGTAGTAAACAGGAGGTTCTGTGCCAACTTTTCAGGAAGGATCTTCTGTACTTGAGAGAATGGCAGGGAGATGTAATCAGAGCCAACTTAACTCATGTCACTAACGTAAGAACTCTAAGAGCATGTATATGTATAGGATAGGAAGAATATATTTAGAGAAGAGAAACAGGAAATAAGTTTACTTGGCTCTGTCCTTCATTTTATTACCTCAAGAAGAACAGGTACCAAAGTTCTAAATGCCTGATTTACTATATATTATTTTCCCCCTCAAAGGCTACTAGCTACTAGCTCAAGTTTTTCAGAATCTGTCTCTCCTATAATTTTACACACCTCAACTGTGTCCCTTAATCTCTTTTCTACTCTATTACAATGCCCCCTTTTCTGTACTCTCTTCTGAACGTTTTCCAATTCTTCAATATCCTTCCTACAATAATGAATTAAGTGCCCAAATTATGCACAACTTTGCATGTCCTATTGTTAGCCATTTGCAGGGCACCATAAACATCTCTTCTGATTTGTTTCATTGGTCCATCAATGTGCACAAAGTTGGCTTTTTCAACTGCAGAGGGACCCTGAACGAATTGTTTTAAATCTCAACCATTACCAACTGCAGATCCTTTTCCAGACCACTGACCTGCAAGTTTAACTATTACAAAGAACTTCAAAATTATACTTGGAATATACAGACGATGTGTGACGCTGTATGGTATATGGGTGACCATTTATAATATTATCGATACCAAAATTACAAAATTGAAATGAGTCTTCTACCAGATATGCCATGTAAGGTATCAGTGGAAAAGGTATGATTTGCTAAATATGATAAGCTTGTTCATACATATGTATCATCTTTATATCATATGTTATAAGTGTGTGGTATATTTATCTCTTGTGCTGTGTATCTGGGTGACACCCCAAGACAGACTGGCATCAGCACTACCCAGCCTGCTTGATGGCCCATCAAAGGCAATCAGCTGTACAATGAAGCCATTAAAAACAAGCCAGGGCTATGCCTATGAGTCAACACGACATGTACAGGAACATACCTATGGACAGAGGACTCCAAATACTTTTCCATGCCCAAGTGCTGTGAGCTTGTGTTTGGGACAAAGGATATACAAGTCACATGGCAGAAAATATAAAAAGGCAGCTGCATCACCCCCATTTTGTCTTGAATCCTGCTTCTCACCTCTGGAGTAACAGCTCTACAAAATGAAGACTTGAACGCAAGACTGATAGACCCATCCAAGCTTTGGATGCATTCCAGAGGGACTTTACAAGCCAGCAAACTCACCAATGCTGCTAAGAACCTGAGATATGGATTCTGAAGTCATATGTATGTATCTGATTGCTTTGACCATTTAACAACTCTTCTTATTCTTTTCTTTTAAACCTTTGGGTTTTAGATACTAAAAGGATTGGTTGGCAGAGTGGTATTTTGGGTAAGATCCAAACTACAATTGACCTGGTAATGTGGCTGGCCCTTTGGGGATCAGAAGAACATTTTGTACAGTGAATAGTGTTTTAAGTAACATCTCACTTTACTGGAACTATCTGCTGATTGGGAGCCAGAGACTGGAATGCAATAAAGGGGTCTATGTGATTTCTTTCCCCCCCCAGATTCTTAATAACCAGTGTGGGGGATAAGCAGTACAGTTTGTGACTGGTTGGTGAATCTAACTACACAGCGTTAACCACCAGTTTTGGGAGAATCTGTTCTCCTTTTTGCAGACTGCCCTGCCCTGGGCATTTTCAGGGTGGACTACCCTAGGCACCACGGGTCACAATATGCATGTTGTTCTAGGATCTAGCTTAGTCATTCACCGTCAGGCTGGGTGCACTGCAAAAGTAATGTAATCTATCAGTCTCTAAAGACTAGAAACAGTGCCTTTTATCACTCTACCTAGAACAGAGGTGGGCAAACTTTTTGGCCCGAGGGCCACATCTAGGTATGGAGCTTGTATGGTGAGCCATGAATGCTCACGAAATTGGGGGTTAGGGTGCGGGCTCTGGGGTGGGGCCAGAAATAAGGAGTTCAGGGTGTAGGAGGAGACTCCGGGCTGGGGATGAGGGTTGGGGGTGCCAGAGGGTACTCCAGGCTGGGACTGAGGGGTTCAGAGGGTAAGAGGGGGATCAGGGCCAGAGGTTGGGGTGCAGGCTCCAGGTGGCACTTACCTCAACCAGCTCCCAGAAGCTGCAGCATGTCCCCCCTCTGACTCCTATGTGGAAGGACGGCTAGGTGGCTCTGCGTGCTGTCCTGTCCACAGGTGCCACCCGTGCAGCTCCCACTGGCTGTGGTTCCTGGCCAATGGGAGTTGCGGGAGTGGCATTTGGGGCGAGGACAGTGTGGCACCCCTTGGCTGCCCCTATACGTAGGAGCTAGAGGGGGGACATGCCACTGCTTCTGGGAGCTGTGCAGAGCGGGACAAGCCCCAGACCCCACTCCCCGGCAGGAGCTCGAGGGCCTGAGTACAACGTCTGGAGGGCCGGATGTGCCCACCCCTGACCTAGAGGTTACTGGCTTGAGAGAACTATGTCTAGCTCCTCTTGATGACAAGAGCAGTACTGATTACACACGAATGTACAGTTTTGAAAGTCAATTTTGCTAAACAGAACAATGTCTGAAAATATTAAAAAAATACCTATTACACTTAGTGTCTTCAACAAATATAGAAAACGAAGTTTTCAGTTAAGCAAACTTTCCCACATCTTGTATACAAAGTTTAAAAACCAAACAACAAAAATGCCAGTTACATGTTAGGGTATGTCTACACTGCCCACATTACAGCGCGGCCGCAGCAGTCCTGTGACGTGGGCAGTGTAGTCACACTTTATCACCGGGGGAGAGCTCTCCTGGTGATAAAAATAACCGCCCTGAACGAGAGGTGGTAGCTTTATCACCAGGAGCACGGCTCCTGGCAACAAAGCCCTGTCTATACTGGAGCTTTTCAAGTGCTAAAACTTTTGTCGCTCAGGGGAGTATTTTTTCATACCCCTGAACGACTAAAGTTTTAGCACTGAAAGTGGCTGTGCAGATGCAGCCTTAGATTTGTAAACTAGTTCTCTCTTTTAGGAATCAAACGCAAGGCCACTCAATAAACTAGCCATCCATGTACTCGCAGCATCCTCCGACAGAAGGAAGTCACACCTATGTTTCACATATGCAACTGAGACAGTATATGAGAGTTTTAGGACGACTGTCTCTTGAACTCAGGTTTACAGACACGTGCAGAGCAGGATATTCTAACACCCACTCAAATCAGGCCAAAATCAAAGTGAAATAAAAGCAGGATTAGAACAGAACAAATATTTCATATGCTCACTTTAGGTATTGGAATTCTAAAGGAATATTTGAAGAAATAAATACCTGTCATATATTAGCCCATTAATGCCATATTCTCTCAACTTCTTCCTGTTATCTGGGTCATTTGTATCATCACCCCAACAGAAAATAACTAAACCTTTAGATTTGGCCTCCTGAATATACGATGGGTTCCTAAGCAGGTCTTCAGTGTGCACATTAATTCCCTGTAAAGTTATAAAAAACACTTAAGAAAATGCAAATATAATCTAGACTAAATACTATTAAAAGTCAACTTTTCTAGCTTTTGATCACTGAAGTGTTTCACAATTTTTAGACAACTAAAAGAAAAAAAATCTTGTGAACTCCAGGAATTAAATGCATTTTTAAAGACTTGCTTCTTTAACAACTGTTCAATATTCAAGAGGACTGAAGTGCATTCTTAGTACTTTGAAGCAATGAAAATACATTACTTTAACATGTTTACTAAAATGTTTATGTATTCTTTTAAGTTTGCTTGTCACCTTATTCAGCTTCTGTATTTTAAAAGTCAGTTTATCAGCAATTATGGAACGTAGCAATAAGTTAGTTTCATTTCACAGAGTAACAAGAGCATGACAACTTACCAGCAAGTTTTCAAACTGGGCAAAGCTCATGGCAATAGGAGTTGTACGAGACCTGAGATCCATAAGTTCTGGATAAATATCAGATTTTCCTTGTGTGAGAAACAACACAGGATACTTATTTTGCTTTTGCCGAACCCTGTAAAAGAGTATAAAAATACAACTGCAAAGGGAAACTTTTCAGTAGTGTTTCTTTCACATGGATGAGAACATAAAAGCACAGTCACCATTCCCAAACTGTATTGACATGTAATATGCAAAGTATTACTCAAGGATTAAGCAGTTTTGTGGACACACACCAGTCTGTCTAGTCAGTTGGATAGGACTAAAAAGTTAACATAATGCAGTAACCTTTACTATATTCCAGAGAAAGACAAGGCACATGTGAAAAAGAATTTCTCCATTTTCTCATAACAACAAGACTGATTTTTTTTGTCCCCTTTCTTCCTAAGGGAAAGAGACATGACTGCCCTGGATTTTAACTCCAGAAAGATAGTTTAGCATAGTGAAATCTCCCTTTCCTGCATAGTAACATGCACATTTTCATGTTTGAACACATTCACTACAAATGACAAGTTCAGCCTCATGGTTAGAAGGGAATACTTTTACTTACTGGATATTCATTTAATCCTTTGCAGATGCAACAGCAGTTTTGCCTCAATGTGTACAACATACCATTGTCCCTTTCACCACTTTAGAGATTTACATATTTCACACATATTTCAACTATCTAAAGTCTAGAGTATGTTCCCCCTTCCCCAAAGTTCTCCATATATAAAATTTTAGAAGTGGGTAGCCTTCTATCATTTTTTCCCCTTTACAAAACACACAATAGCAAACTTAACACATTCTCAAGCCACCTTGACCACTTTAGAGTTGGTTCACCAGCATAGCTATGAAATAGCAATAGGCGAAAGTAATATTCTGGGTATGATGATTCATCAACTTTGACTCCACCTTCACTTACTCTTCACCTTTCATTGCCCCCTCCTAACCAGCCCCTTTACACCTTCTTCCACTGTTTTTCCCAGGCTGTCCCTTATGTTTGGAAGTCCTCTTATTGTCAAGTACCTGTCTTCTTTCACATCTCTGCTTTAAAGGATTTCTTCTAAACAGTCTTTCAATAAGGAATTCTGCAATATTTCCATACAAAGACTGGTATAGTGTGTCAATAAGTTCCCTGATTCAGGGTCTGTCTTTTGTTCAGCACCCAGAAAACCAACATAAGATGTGCCACAACAGAAAGCAAATTAGTTTTTCTAGAAAGCCAATATCCAATAACTATTTATGTAGTTTAAGAACTTTCATGTTTGTTTTTTTTAAATCAGAGATTTGTTGAAAATTGTCAATAGAGAATTCTATGATTATATATGTATATTTAATTTGCATACACTAAACTGCCAAATAAAAACAGTATGCCCTGTTCGAAGATGGTCACCTATTGTGACAAGAATTGGCGGTTACCAAGTAAGTGTACTGTCTTGGCATTTGTTTGAACAGCAGCATATGGACACTGACATTACCCAAAACTGTCCTGTAACTGAAGAGACATTAGAGCTGTTATCTGGCCCTGACTTTCCTTTTGCAGTACTGTGAAGAAGAGCATTTCAAACAGGTATTTTCTTTTTCTGAAACACTAAATATTTTATCCTCCAGCCAAAAGGAAGGAGGAACAGTTCGACACATGCTAGAATGGCCAGGAAACTGAAGCCAGAGGGAAAGTGAAACCCCAGGATAAAGTCTGCTCTTTTCCCTACTGTTTTAAGAAAATAAATGTTTACTTAGACAATTTGTTATTCACTATTTTTTCCAATGCCTTTTCTCTTAATATGCTGCTGGCTTTGTTTTCCGATTGTATTTTTGGGCATGGGTCAGATGGATGAAAGGTCTAAGTCCAGGAACTAAACTTAAACGTGTTGGCATTCAAACTCAAGTCTCAAAAATAACTTCTTAATGAGTTTTCCATTGAGCACTAACACCTAAAGTGAAATCTATTGAGTCAAAAATGGTTTAAAGTTGAGTTGTAACTTACATTGTGCAAATGTCCGCATCAAATGAAGAAAATACAATTCTCCTTCTTCCAGCATTTTCTAGAGTAGTTTTTAGAATGATATCTAAGAAGAGGTTCATATCAAAATAGGTTGACAAGTTGCCATCCCATTTCCCATCCTATAAAAAAACAAGTAGTTGAACTAAATCAATGACTACACTAATTATTTCAAATGACAGGAGTCTATTTAAGTTGAGAGAAAAAAGAATCCAGCTTGTTAATATGAATAAAAAAAATAGCACTCTTCTCCAGTCTACCAAGCGCTGTTTGCAACACTATACAGCTGGCTTTCAACAAAATTGTTCAGAAATATGCAGCTTTTGAATCAGTGTTATAACTTTAAATGGTCTTTTCAAGATTCATTAAAACAACTCACTTTATTCCTAGATACGACATCAACTATTCATGAAGTCTATTAAAATTAAAAGATCATTTGCATAATAAAATCATTTAAATATGGGTTATATTAAAAACAAAAATATATTAAGAAGCCTAATGTAGTATAAATGAATAAAGGGCAACTAAACAGATGTCTTGTACAACCATCTGTAAGGATATAAATGTTGTAGCAATATTTAATTATATAAATAACTCAGGAATATTTTCATCTTTAGAAGATGATTGCCTACAAGAAACTGTCAATTCTGTATTAAGATCCCAATACAAACACTTATGCATGTGCTTAAAGAGAAGTACATGTCTGTTTATTTGCAGGTTCAGTGCCTTTGATTTTCTAGTTCTAAAGCTAGCAGGACACACTGTCAGTGAAACAAAACTGCCTTTTACTGTTCAAAAGAAAAAAAAAGGCTAATAACTTTGATTAAATAAAAATAACAGTAAAATAGTAGTTTAGGTCTGGGTCACATGCAAACTGACCTATCAAGATATGCATAGTAGTCTACAAAGTAACACAAGGCATCAAAGCAAGGAACATTATAAATTGCTTACTCTTTGTTGGCAGATCCATTTTATTTCTATGTTAAACCCGACATCTTCAGGAAGGGATTCCAGAACCTGGATATAATAGTTTTATAAAAAGGTACCAAATCACATGATGCTCATTAAGTACTATTGCTAAGGGTAAATACAGGACAAAAAATGCTGAATCACCACCCAGCAAAGGCCAAAAGTATAGCATATACATATATGATTCTTTAACACTTAAAGGCACATTATCCCTTTTCTACTCTGGTCCAAAGTGGGTCAATGGAATAATGAGAACAGCCTTCAGGAATTAGTTACACCATTATCTGCAACTAATTTCTTATGTACTAACACTTTGAGATGTACAGTTATTTACAATTTACAAATACTTAGTGCATACTTTTCTGTCTGGCTACTTATTATATATGTTTTTGTTTTATATAAAAAACAATTGCTCTGATACATGAAAAAAAGTCACAATTTCCCTGGTTAACCACCAAAAACTATCTGGCACAGCAGACAAGATTCCCTTGTCTAGGCCAGTTTGTTATTCATTTTGTTCATGTTTACCTCTCAGACAAAAGAAAAAGATTTAACTACTTTCATTTGGATTTGGGAGAATAGTACCCAGCAATTGCTGTAAGGGGCAAATAGAAGCACAGTTCAAGAAAAAAGAGTTTCAAGAATTATCACAGACTAAGTCTGGTAAACAGTTTCTGAAGAAAAAGCCAACTCAAAAATACAAACTTTGGCAAAGATTAGTTATTAATGGAATATACTGCAACTGTGCTAAGTAGCAGTAGCTAAGTGGTGAAGGAATGTAATTCTAAAGCTAAAGTTTTGAAAAGTGACCACCAATTGTGGATGCCCCAAATTTGGTGCCCAATTTCACTCCTCCCCCCGAGGTAGGATTTTCAGAGATTGTAAGCACTTGCAGGTCCCAAAAACTTTTAGAGTTATGGATGAACAGGATTTCTAAAAAGCAGGCCCTAGGTACCAAGCTGGGCACCTAAAAACTGAGCCATCCATAATTAGTGACCACTTTTGAAAATTCTGGCCCATAGCCTCCTTTTACTGCCACTACACCCATTTTCTTTGGCTTTAATGCACTGCTGCTGGTAAAAAGCTTCTTGTCCAGTGCTGAGAAGTAGTATTTCATTAGCCACCAGTGAGCTCCTATTGCAGAAAAAATCAGGATGATTCAGGAACGGGAAAGAAATGGAAAAGATTCTTCCAGATCATCTTTTTTGGCTTTTCCTCAAAATTGAAGCAGTAGATCAAAAAAGAGCTCCCATTTAGAATTCATGTTGGAAACTGAAGGGGTTTTGAATGTAGCTGATACATTTACAATGCCTATAACAACTACACTGGTTACTTACTAAAGACAAAAAGAAAAAGGAGTACTTCTGGCACCTTAGAGACTAACAAATTTATTTGAGCATAAGCTTTCGTGAGCTACAGCTCACTTCATCGAATGCATCTGATGAAGTGAGCTGTAGCTCACGAAAGCTTATGCTCAAATAAATTTTTTAGTCTCTAAGGTGCCACAAGTACTCCTTTTTCTTTTTGTGGATACAGACCAACACGGCTGCTACTCTGAAACCTTACTAAAGACAGTTATAGCATTTCAGTGCCCCGAACTCTTGTCCACATAGACAGTCAAAAATAAGCTCCATTTTGAACCCTTTCCTCGTCTTGTGACAAAAACCTTTGAAAGTTCTTTTTCTAGACTCCACTTCTCCGTTAAGCATGCAAGAACCCAAAAACTTATTTATAAATATTTTGAAATTTCCATTTGCCTAGCATTACATTGCTCTACATTGTCTAGTTCTATACTGACTGCTGCTTACCGTCTGGAGAGATGGAAATGGTTGGTTCTCAGAAACAGGGCTTTCCTCCCCTTTAAGAGATGCTGAAATTAAATAAAAAAAATTTAAAAAAGGTGAACAGCAGTATTGCCAACCCCCAAATTAAGAGACGGTCTTCAAAATCATAAGATTTTAAAAGATTCACTTTTTTTGAAAAAAGAAAAGGAGTACTTGTGGCACCTTAGAGACTAACCAATTTATTTGAGCATGAGCTTTCGTGAGCTACAGCTCACTTCATCGGATGCATACCGTGGAAAGTGAAGCAGACATTATATACACACAGAGATCATGAAACAATACCTCCTCCCACCCCACTGTCCTGTTGGTAATAGTTATCTAAAGTGATCATCAAGTTGGGCCATTTCCAGCACAAATCCAGATTTTCTCACCCCCCCCCCCCCACACACACACACACAAACTCACTCTCCTGCTGGTAATAACCCATCCAAAGTGACAACTCTCTTCACAAAGTGCATGATAATCAAGGTGGGCCATTTCCTGCACAAATCCAGGTTCCCTCACCCCCCTCCAGAAACCACACACACAAACTCACTATCCTGCTGGTAATAGCTCACCAAAGTGACCACTCTCCCTACAATGTGCATGATAATCAAGGTGGGCCATTTCCAGCACAAATCCAGGTTTTCTCACCCCCCCACCCCCATACACACACAAACTCACTCTCCAACTTGATGATCACTTTAGATAAGCTATTACCAGCAGGACAGTGGGGTGGGAGGAGGTATTGTTTCATGATCTCTGTGTGTATATAATGTCTGCTTCAGTTTCCACGGTATGCATCCGATGAAGTGAGCTGTAGCTCACGAAAGCTCATGCTCAAATAAATTGGTTAGTCTCTAAGGTGCCACAAGTCCTCCTTTTCTTTTTGCGAATACAGACTAACATGGCTGTTACTCTGAAACTTTTTTTGAAGTTTGTCTGTTTATTTAACTCCTCCCACCCCACCTCCAATGTGTGTGTGACTTAGTGTTGCCAACTCAAACATACAGTGAGTAAGGTGATTTTGGCCCATGCTGCATGAGCTCTTCCTCGAGTACTCAACTGAGATGGGTCCCCCATTGCGCTATGGTCTGTACAAACACAGTAAGAAAGTCATTCCCTGAAGAGCTTACAATTTAGTGCAAAGATTGTGACGGGGAGCTGCAAGTTGAACTCCGAGGCTACCAGACTTCCTTTAAATGGGAACACCTTTTAATTCCTGCTGAGCTGGATTTCATACTGGTGACCTACGGTGGAAAGGCTCTACAGCTCATTAGCAATGCCTTGAGACATACAGAGCACATCTACACTGCAATAAAAACATCCACAGGTGACCTGTGTCAGCTGACTCAGGCTGCAGGGCTATAAAATTGCCATGTGGACATCCAGGCTCAGGCTGGAGCCCAGGCTCTGGGACTCCATGAGGGGGAAAGGTTCACAGACCCCAGGCTCCAATCCAAGCCTGGACGTCTACACTGCAATTTTGTAGCCCTGCACCCCTAGCCCCACAAGTCCAAGTCAGCTGACATAGGCCAGCCACGGGTGTTTTATTGTAGTGTAAACATACCCACAGTTCTCTATAAGTGCTAATATTATACTTTGAGAATTAAGCTTGTTTTCCAGAAGTTCTGACCTTTTTGGAAATTACACAGACATTATCTTCCACTCAGGAAACAAACACAGTCTCCCACACATTACTCTAAGACTCCCTATAGAGGTATTTGAATCTGAATCTCACATGCGGTTCTTAAAGGGACAACTCCCATTAACCAAAGTATAAGCACAAAAAAAATAATGCAACAATAAGTATTAATACCACATGTAAAGTCACTTCTAAATGCAACGTTTTGCAATAGAAAACCATTCCAACTCTTATTTCAGGGTCTTACACTAACTTTTATTCATAGATATAATTTATATTTATATTTATTTATTTTCACTGCCACATGGGACACTGTCAGCAGAGTTTAAACCTTCTGTTCCACAGCACAGATCTCGTCCACTTCTGCTAGGGTAATTGCTAAAAGAAAAACCATGCTGTTATCCTCAGTAGGAGCCTGTCCATACAGGGAGACGACATACATACAATGCCAGTGGATTACACTAGCATTTGAGAAACCGCTTAACACTGGGCATCAGGGTTCTTGGTTTCTTCCTCTGGTTACAGACAGTATAGCTAAATATAACAATACCCCTGTATGTTGCCTTTGGGGAATGAGCCAGAGACCTCTGGATGTAAAAGCACAAGCCTTCACCAGATTTAACATGGAAATCATAACAAGAGTCGTAAGCTGCTGTGTGTGGTCTAGTTTGTAAAGGGTGACAGAGCCATACTGTTAGCATGGGTTACAGAATCACCTAATTTTCCACGTTCCTTCTGGCAAACTGTGTCAAAGTTGGTAAGATTTGGCTGTTATATTAGACACCTAGATTCGATTCCCAGCTCTGCCTAAAATGACCTTATACACGTTCTCCATTACCCTGTGAAATGGATGAATGATACTTAACCCCTTCGCCAAGGCAACAGTATGAGACCTTGGCTCATAATTGTGAAGGGCACAGAAATATAAAAGAGCTGAAACTAAAACTCATGGACTCTTGGGCTTGCAGTTCAGTGCACATTCTCCAAGACTACAGTGTAGTATGTGGGGAGCTCACGCTGATTTTGCTTTCCTCAAATTATATAATGGAGGGAGCTATTCACATCATCGCAAGACTGACTATAGAGGTGGCCAAAATCATGTTATTTCCAATAAATTCCAGTTGGCAACACTGCGAATTGCCAACACCTTCTACTGGAAGACATGTATCCAATAAGAACTAGATACAAAAGAATACTATATAAAAATTAAGCTAGTCAACGCATTCTATACATGAAAGTGGCAGACAACAGTTCAGTTGCACAATACTTTAATTGGCATCTCCAGCTAAGTGGTATTACTAAAACTTTTAAAAACAAATTACAGTACATTTATTAGTTCATGATGAACCCAATACATTTTGCCACTTGTACTTTAAATTTAATATAGTACACTCTGTGATGCACAGAACTTGGGACAATTTGCTTCTGTATTTGTATGCCAGTCCTCAAAATTCAGTAATTTGCAATGTATCTCCTGGGATATGCTAATTAGTAAAGAAGTTAAGGTTCAACTACAGTTTGCATAATGGATTCTGAAAAGGTACGTCTATTTTATGGAAATATTAAAAAAAGTATGTTACCAAGTATGAGCAGGATAACGTCTAACACATGCAATACATACGCAAGCTACAGGTTCAATGAGTGATCTTAAGGAAGGTTTAAAAGACCATAAATCAAATTAAAAAAATCTCATTTTTCCTGAAGCTTATTATGAAATGCACCAGGAAAAATGGCTGAGAACACAGAATTTTGACATCTGATAAGAAACTCCTGCTTTAGAGACTCCACTAGTTATTCCTATTCCCCCAGGGCCTTGTTTCAATAATGTACTCATGTGTTGAGCAAGCCCAGTAAATTGATGACAGTGTCCACTTCATTACATCAACTGTGCAATGGCAACACAAGTGGCAAACCAATTCAGCTCAGTTTACAAATTTAAATTATTGTGCACTAAAAGTTTTTGTAATGCAGCAAAATTACATATTTCACTGTTATCAGAGCTAACTAAATCCTGGTAATATTTAATTCTGTAGCGAACAGTACTATGAAATTCTGCAGCAATAGAGACAGTGTCATATATTTTGTAACAGACCAAGTTTACTAGCATTTAGGGCACACTGCAAGGTCCATCTTTTGTCCCTGGAATATCGGGAGCTGAGAAACTGGTACGGTCAAGAAGTTGTTGGAGGGAAGACACTTGTGGTGATTTTGTTAGTGGAGTAATTACAATTTTTCTTAAATATGTTGGAGGATGGTATTACATGCTATCAGTGATGCCTTTATACATAAACTTCCCTGTGAAAATCGTATGTGATGAATAGCGCTCTCAAGTATTTTAAAATCTCAACTTCCAGTTTCCAAGAACAAACAAAATTGATTGAAAAATAAACATTTCAATGACAATATAAATTCTTATAAGGCAGCAGATAAAGATATTTGTATTTGTACATACCATTGTGATCTTTTAATTTCAATGCAGTCACATGAGCCAGCTAAAGATCACAAAAAGAATATATTAAACTAACAAGTATACTTTTATCTGTAGAGACTGTACTATTTTGGTAAAGAACAATTAGATTTTTCCTTTTGAATTCCCTTACACTTGTTTTTAAAAGTTTAAAAGAGTCTACGAAATATGCAGTTCTGGTAGGAAGACAAACGATTCTAATACACATCTATTTTCTTTCCAACTTGCCTATTTTAAGATTTTAGGGAGAAAGTAAAAAATTTTTTATATTGTTTAATCATCGAACCAAAACACTTACAAGTGGACAGGGAGATAAGGATGTAATTTAAAGTTGAGAAGATACAATTTTCATAATGAGCCTTACAAACCTTATGTACTCAGTTTGCAAATGGTCATAACGTGCATCCATGAAAACTCATCTAATCTGTCTTTATACTTTCTGTACTCTGGGCCCCACTACAAGCAGATGGCTGACCACAGTTTATGCGATGGGGCCATGTATCTGACTTAAAATATGGTGGGGCTTAGGCTGAGACCCTGCATCCATTCAATTTTTTCTTTGAGGCTGAAGGAGAAAATTAGGTAATTTAAGGAAATAAGAGTACCTAAAATTCTTGTTTCAGCCACATCTTTCCTTGACTCTGAAAGAAGAAGTTGCATCCCATTTTCAACTCTCATGCTTCCCAGACTTATCTCCTGGTCTCTATTTTTTCCAGAGAATCAATGCCCCCATGGTATCCATAGTGACAGGCCAATACCCTACTCTCCAATTCTGCCTGACCAGGTTAGATTGGATTATGTATCATTCCTAACCTTTGCCCTCAATTGCAAGGTCTGTCTAGATTAAGCCAGGATTATCTGATCTACCCTCAATGTCTTCTCCTAATGCAGACAAACCCCCAAAATATCAAATATAGTTTTTATATCCCTTCTTTGGCAAAGATTCTGAATTATCAGCTTTAAATGACTTCTAACTCCATCGTCAGGCTATTCTATTTTTTTAAACTCATATTGTTGTAATACTCTGTTAATTGGTCATCATCTGGGTCTGTTTAGCATGCTGTTCCACCTTTCCACCCAGTATACGAGAGTTATAAGGACAGAACAAGTTGAAAACAAAGTAGCATTCGATCAGAAAATAAGCTATTTGACTAATCACAAGAGCAAAAATACTTTTAAAAATCCTGTTAACGTAAAAAAAACACACAAACAAAAAAAACCCTAGTGCCAGATTTTGAGAGTTACTGAGTACCCTCAGCTTCCATTAACTTCTATGCAAGATGCGAATACTTAGCACTTCTGAAAATTAGGCCCTTAACCTCATCTTCAGTTTATTCGGAGTATCATAGTAATGATACTACAGATATGGCCATTGCTTTTTAAACTACCTACTCCCAATCCCTTATATCTTTCTCCAAGAATATACCTTTCCATTAAGTTTTTGGGGAAGTAAAGGAGATCCACTTAGTCATCTACAACTAAGAGGTAATTTTTTGTGCTCAGTTATTCATATGGCTTAATATTTAAACTCCTATCTGCACATATAGCTAGTCTTCCATAAGGAATACTCTCTGCTAAACTGGGGGAGGGGGGAGAAGGGGAAGATGGACGACACCAGTCAAATGTTTTTAAATTATTGTGTTCGTGTAGTACATTCAGAGCAGCAGCAAGAGTTCTCTCAGACTAACTATTTCAAAACAAAGGTCTGATATCCAGTTTTAATACAAACATCTACTGTGCAGCAATGTAACAAACTAGCCTACCATGACGACATTACCTTTAATAATTGCAGTTGGTCATATGAGAGTTCTTTTACTGGGATCTCAAACAATTCCAATGGCTCAGCATCGAATTTCTTGGAAAAAAATTGACATTAAATGTTGAAAATTCACTAGAAAGTATGAAAAGCAATATTACTTTTGTTTCAAGACAGACATCATTAAAGCATTTAGCCAAGCATACTGACAAATATTTTGTTTACCACTGACACTGTTAAAATGGCACTTTATCAGTTTGTGGATGAGACCACCAGTTTTCAAAAGTGGCAGCATGGGCACTTGGATGTGCAAAATAGTAACTGTCTTAGTGCACTTAGTTAAGGCAAAAGTAAGGTTTGCAAGCACAATTTAGGACTTAATTTTCAAGTGGTCATCTATGCACTAGGCTGTGCTGTACATTATTAAAAATTCTTGTAACTGCCTACATTTGTTCATTTCAAAATAACAGATTAATTTATTGATGTTACTCTGCATTCAACCTGAAGTTCACAAGCTGGAAAGTGTACAATAAAAATTCTAAAAACCCAAACACCTCATTTGACAACCCTTCCAAATTTTTGTTTTGAACTTCTCAAAAACATTGATAAAGAGAACACGTCCTAGCTTTCACATGATGTCCTCGTGTCCCAAGAACTTCTTTCAAGACATCTGTCCCCGTTTTTCATTTCAAATGTTCCCCCATCCCAACTACAAAGTTTTGGTTCAAGCATTGCTATACTGATTTAAGAGGTTTTGTATACCCATTTCATTAATCCCATGCTGAGTGCACATTTCATGCCAACCACAGTTCAAGGCCAAAGCTTGTCATCTGTCAGGTGACAATATTACAAGCATAGTATGATGAGTTGTTAACCCAGTGCAAAACACTTGCTCAAGCTTTTCAGTGGAAAGGGGGTGCAGATCTGGCAAGTTCTCCACCTTCACTTCCTCCTTCTCTACGGCTGTCAAACTGTACAGAAGAGGAAAGCAAGGGGAAGACAGAAATCTATAGTCACTTTTTTCAGAAACTATTTAATGGGCTGTATGCTATGAAACTTGGGAGGTTTAAGAGAAATGCTACAAGCCTGCTGTAAGATTGTGCTCGCCTTAGAGAATTTCTATCATAATCAGTATGCACTACAAGTGCTGCTCATCCAGTGAATTGCATACAGGGGCCTCAAGACTCCTCACCCTTACTGTGAGAAAGCAGCAGAAAGTTGCTTTGGGAGGTCACAGAAGCAGCTTGCTTCCAGGACCCTCCTTCCTGCTACTATCACTTCTGCCCCAACTCCATCCTTTCTGACCTACCACTCAATCCCAGAGCAATTCTTCAGCCCCAATTTCCCTCCCCACAATATGTTAAGTACTAAGATAGGGTAAGTAGTGCTTCAAGGGGCTGAAAAGACAAAAAAGGCCAAAAAAAAAATGCAACTTGCGACACTCCATTATGGCCACAAAGGCTTGCAAGATATGGTGGATTGCAGGAATTTTCTGCTATTTTGTGGGTCATGGACTAAGAGGTTGAGAACCACTGCACTACAGCATGGAAGGAAGTATTTCAGATCACATATGTGAAGTGCCCCTAATGTCAAGATAAAGAATTACTATTAAATTAGCTCATCTTTTGTGGTATATTTTTATGCAAAACAGTCATTTCCAATATATTAAGATTGTATTGTTTGTTTCCATTCCATACTTTTCCTGAGTTACCGAATTATTTTTACAAGACACCTTGGAATTTCAGTCAAATAATTTGAGTTCCAGTAACTGTCACACTAACAGAAATATGGCCAGCACATTCATATATTACCTTTTTCATAGCCATACAACAAGTGAGATCGTGATACACAACAGGCACATGATCCTTAGAAAGATGTACATCAAATTCCACAAATGCTGCTCCCTGCAGAGAAGAAAGAAAGTAAGAACTGCATATATATAAGAACTAGCGAGAGCTCAAAAGAAAGTTTTCAAATTTATAAATTATATATAGCAGGTCAACTGAAATACAATAACTACAGTAGCTGATAAAAGTTAGAGTTCAATATAGCATTGCAGAGAACTATTGGTTATATGTTAGACCAAAATTCTTCAGTTCAACAACTGATAAACAATGTACAGGAAAAAATAACTCGTATGCAAGTCTAATAACTATTATATACTCAATCTCTTAAGGGTTCAAGTGTATGCCAGAGTATTATGCACTCTTCATCGAAGAAAAGCCATGAGAGGAGATACACTTCATATACTGAAATTTACATGCCTTTCCCCTCTCTTACATATAAGCTAAGGTCCGCTTGAAGGTGTGATTCGAGATACTGAAATTGTTGATGAGCCATTCAAGTATCAGTTAAGAACATATGCAACAGCATCAAATAAATAAACGTAATCTATTTGGATTGAGCTAATTTGTTATATTATAATTATTTAAAAGCATTTAGAAACTTTGTTCTTTTAAAGAAGAAAGCTGAAGAACTACATGTGCTGCTTTTATTAAAAAAGTCAATTGAAGAGCAATTTTATTTTTGGTTTATTGAAGAGGAATTATTCAGAAGTAAATCAAGTCCTCTGAAGGTAGCACTCATCAGATTCCCACAACTGGATCATATGTTCTCTCTCCATTAGCTTTAGAAGCTAAACAGAAAGTCCAGGATATTTCCACTCCTTCTCTCAAAAGGCTTATTTATACAGTACCTTCACGGAATTAAATTTTTTATTTTCCTTACATCCAATGCTTCAGAGGACTGAAAGACAGGATGCTCAACTACAGACCACTGCTGGTTTTCTCTCCATTGATAATTCTTGTGTTCCCATCATGGTCACCTAACTCTTTCTTACTCTAGCCACCAAAAGAACATCGGTACAGGTGGATCAGTGGAGAATAAAATAGAATTAGAGCCCATTTCCATTCCTTAAAAGGCTTAGTTTCATGGAAAGACCACATCTCCACTGGACTGAACAGGAACTTTGTTTTAAGTGAATGACTAGTATTAGCACTGGCCAACAAAAATCCCTAACTGAGGGAAGAAGTTACTCACCTTGTGCAGTAACGATCATTCTTCGAGATGCATGTCCCTGTAGGCACGTCTGCAACCCTGCGCTGCTGATCGGAGAACTTTGGTAGCAGTGTCTGTTCAGCTAGTGCATGCACAGCCCTCCCTCCCCCGCTCCCTCCCTGCGTGCTCAGCCACTAGGCTAACCAGCAGTGTGTGGGCGACCCTCCTCAGTTCCTTCTCTACTGAAATTTATGAGAACTCTGAAGTAGAGGGTGGGTCATGGAGTACCCACAGGGAGACATCTCAAATAATGATCATTACTGCACAAGGGAAGTACCTTCTAGCAATGTCCCTATAGACGCTCCACTGTAAGTGACTCCTCAGCAGTATCCCGCACTGGAGGCTGGGACTTCAGAGTCGATGGATGATAGTACCCTGGCGCCAAATCTGGCATCTGCAGCGAAGTCCCCAGGATGGGATAGTGTTCTGCAGAGGTATGTGCAGATGTCCAGGTAGCTGCTCTGCAGGTGGTGACTAGCTGGGCTTCAGTGACAGAATGGGCTTCAGTGACAGACACACCCTGAGGAGACAATTGTCCAGGTAAGGGTAAATCATAATACCCTAAGAGCGTAGGTGAGTTGCCATTACTGAGAGAACCTTGGAGAATATTCTGGGGACCGATGAGAGGCCAAAGTGACTACTCTGTACTGATAATGGTCTTGGCCTAGTGTGAATCTGAGGTATCATCTGACTCTGTATGATCAGAATGTGGAAGTAAGCATCTTGAAGGTTGAGAGACAAGAACCAGTCTCCCTTTTCTAACGCTGGAATAATTGTCACCAAGGTGACCATATTGAACTTCAGAGCCTTGACAAATTTGTTCAGCCTTTGAGGTGTAGTATGGCTCTCCAATCAGGAAGGAGCAAGAGTAAAAACCTTTGCCTCACAGATGTATGGGCACTTGCTCTAGGACTCTTACACTGAGGAGATGGCCTCTCTCGTCATAGCAGGCTCTCGTGAGAAGGGTGTTAGGGGCTGGGAGGGAGGTGAAGTGGACGGAGTACCCATTTCAAATAATCCTCAGCACTCATTTGTTGGAGGCTCTGTTCCCAGGTGCTGTGGAATGGGGTGAGTTATCCCTAGGGATGAGCGAGGTTTTCCAGCGGCAGATGGTATTGAGGAGAGAGTGGCCTGATGGCACCTCAACCAATCTGTCAAAACTGTCATTTTGAGGTAGATGGCTGTGAAGAAGCAAGTTGAGATCCTAAAGGTTTCCGTACGGGGAACCTGGGCTTTTCTTTGGGGTTCATATGATTGTTGAGATGAATATTGTGATGAATGGAGTCTGAATGAAGGTTGAGTATATTTTCTCTTCTGCCCAGACATGTAGATTCTGAGCATTTGAGAGTAACTCTGCAGTCTTTTAAAATGTGGATGGAAACATCTATCTTCTCAGCGAAGAGTTTTGAAACTTCAAAAGGAAGGTCCTCCATAGTTGTTTGTACCTCCTTGCAGAAACCGGATAAGTGCAGCCAAGAGGCTCGTTTCATCACAACAGCACTAGAGATGGCGTGTGCTGCCATGTCAGCTGCTTCAAGTGCAGACTGGAGTGATGTCTTTGCCACCAATTGGTCTTCATTAACGATGGCTTTAAATTGTTCTTTGAGAATTTGGGAGCTGCTTAATAAGGGAATTTAGTTTTGAATAGTTTAAGTAACCATATTTTGCCATTAAGGTTGATAGTCTGAATATAGAATTGTAGGATGGCTACATGTTTAAAAAACATGTTTTTCTCCCAAAAAGACCTAGACGTTTCCAGTCCCAGTTGCAGAGGGTAGATTTGAGATGGTGCTGGCGGGCTCGAGTTCATCATGTCCACTAATTAAAAGGTAGGTAGGAGAAAATAAACTGCGTGTCTTTTGCTGGCACATAGTACTTTTTTCAGAGTAACAGCCGTGTTAGTCTGTATTCGCAAAAAGAAAAGGAGTACTTGTGGCACCTTAGAGACTAACCAATTTATTTGAGCCCAACCTGCACATTGGTGGGACTGACACAGGGGTCTGCCATATGAGATTGGCAGGGTCCAAGACAGCCTCGTTAAATCGGGAGGGTTACTCTGGACAAGGCAGAAGAATGTAAAATGTCCACTGTTTATGGTGCGACTCAGTCACCTCTTGTAGTGGTATCTGTAGTGCCTCTGCCACCTGCTGGGATAGCTCTTGAAAAAGCTTAAAGTCATCTGCCAACGCGTCTGGTGATGATGGTGAGAAATTAGTCTGGGGGGTAGCTATCTCCTCTACTTCAGCCTCTTGTTCCTCTCAATGGTTCAGGGGACTTGGATGCCCTTGATATGGCTGCCGAAGGATGGTGTCTCCGTGGCTCTTGATAGGCCATGCTAGAGCTATGGGAGGCACAGTGTCTGTGTGCCTGTCAGTGGTCCCAGTAGGGCCACTGAGAAGGTGCGAAGGGGCCCGATGGTAGGTACCATGGCTGCCCATATCAAGGAGGCTGGGGATCAGAGGGGCGGTACAGTTGGAGGTCCATACTGGAAGTGGGTACTGTATGATGAGTGAGAAGAGTGGCATGAAACCATGTCCTCTTGCTCACTATCTGCTCACTAAGTCTGAAGCACTTAGAGGAGAGGAAAGTGATCAGGAACAGTCAGCATGGATTCACCAAGGGCAAGTCATGCCTGACTAATCTAACTGCCTTCTATGACGAGATGACTGGCTCTGTGGATGAGGGGAAAGCAATGGATGTGTTGTTCCTTGACTTTAGCAAAGCTTTTGACACGGTCTCCCACAGTATTCTTGCACGCAAATTAAAGAAGTATGGGCTGGATGAATGGACATAAGGTGGATAGAAAGTTGGCTAGATTGTCGGGCTCAACAGGTAGCGATCAATGGCTCCATGTCTAGTTGGCAGCCGGTATCAAGTGGAGCGCCCCAAGGGTCGGTCCTCGGGCCGGTTTTGTTGAATATCTTCATAAATGATCTGGAGGATGGTGTGGACTGCACCCTCAGCAAGTTTGCAGATGACACTAAACTGGGAGGAGAGGTAGATACGCTGGAGGGTAGGGACAGGATACAGAGGGACCTAGAAAATTAGACGATTGGTCCAAAAGAAATCTGATGAGGTTCAACAAGGATAAGTGCAGAGTCCTGCACTTAGGACGGAAGAATCCCATGCACTGCTACAGACTAGGGACCGAATGGCTCGGCAGCAGTTCTGCAGAAAAGGACTAGGGGTTACAGTGGACGAGAAGCTGGATATGAGTCAACAGTGTGCCCTTGTTGCCAAGAAGGCCAATGGCATTTTGGGATGTATATGTAGGGGCATTGCCAGCAGATTGAGGGACGTGATCGTTCCCCTCTATTCGACATTGGTGAGGCCTCATCTGGAGTACTGTGTCCAGTTTTGGGCCCCACACTACAAGAAGGATGTGGAAAAATTGAAAAGAGTCCAGTGGAGGGCAACAAAAATGATTAGGGGGCTGGAACACATGACTTATGAGGAGAGGCTGAGGGAACTGGGATTGTTTAGTCTGCGGAAGAGAAGAATGAGGGGGGATTTGATAGCTGCTTTCAACTACCTGAAAGGGGGTTCCAAAGAGGATGGATCTAGACTGTTCTCAGTGGTAGCTGATGACAGAACAAGGAGTAATGGTCTCAAGTTGCAGTGGGGGAGGTTTAGGTTGGATATTAGGAAAAACTTTTTCACGAGGAGGGTGGTGAAGCCCTGGGTTACCTAGGGAGGTGGTGGAATCTCCTTCCTTAGATATTTTTAAGGTCAGGCTTGACAAAGCCCTGGCTGGGATGATTTAGTTGGGGATTGGTCCTGCTTTGGGCAGGGGGTTGGACTAGATGACCTCCTGAGGTCCCTTCCAACCCTGATATTCTATGATTCT